TCATCATTTCTTTGTGATCTGATGAATTAAAGATATTATTCCTATTTAGAAGTAATAATCTAGATGTTATTGAGAAGGGGAAAATAATTTGTCATATCAGGCAAGTATTGTCTTAAATCTTTTCTATTTATATTTGTCAAGAATTGGTTTATTGATTTAAGAAGTTTTGGTTACATCATTTGTTTCATATTGGAAGGGTTGAATCTCAAATCAGAGATACTATATAGAAGTGAGATTATTGGATATACTTCTTTTTGAATGATGTTGTGAACTGCATCATTTATCTGTATGGCAGTATATTTCTAAGCAAAAATTACATTATCATATTTTTGGTGTTCATCACCCTGCATTTGCAAAGAAGGGTTTACTCACTAGACTCGTATGGTCTAACCCTCATCTTCTGTTTTAAATTATGCAATGCAGGAATAGCTGGGTCCGGGGATATAAAAGGGAAAGGGAAAATGTGATTATTTTYCTAACMTGTTGTCTGCTTTTGAAGATACATGTTATGTTACATGTAATAGTACATGATTTATTTTTGGAAATTTTRTATGTAGATTTTGTACATATAGAAATCCTTGTACTAGAGGGACCTTTTGATGTAATCCATGTTTCTATGTAATGAAATATGTGTTCTATGCAAATGTGGTGTTTGGGGGTGTTACATCACTCGTTTCAAAGACACCTGTGACCGCTTCTTAAAATGGACGGTGCCTATTTGAAGGGGGCCATATGTGGGCACCATGTTCTTAGCGGTCGGCATGGATGGAAACAACCAGATCGTACCCATTGCAATGGGAGTGGGGAAGACAGAAAGTGGCACGTCATAGACATGGTTTTTACATAAGCTAAGGCAATGTATCGGTGAAACGCTTAATATAACCTTCGTAACCGATAGGGTTGCCTTTATTAAGTTGGCTATAGGAACTGTATTCCCCAACATGCACCATGGACTTTTTTGTTGGCATTTGAGCCAGAACTTGCACCTAACCTCGAGTAGAGACAAAGAAATAGGTGGATGCTAGGCATGCAAAGCTTATATGGTGTCAGAGTTTGAAGCTACAATAGATTTGATGCGACACAGTCTACCTAACATCGCTCAATATCTTGAGAAAGTTGATTATGGTAGATGGGCAAGATCCCACTTGCTTGGATTGTGTTACAGTGTAATGACTTCCAATATAATTTGTCAACAATATCAAATTTAATGATAACTCATCAAAAACACAATAACGTTAAGAATCCTAAATCTAAATCCAAAACCCTAATCAAAAACCAAAAATCATAGAGAAGAAGATAGAGGAAAATGCAGATCGTCGTTTTCATCGATTTTCGAAAGCCTACTTCGATATCCAAATGCTTCCTTTGATTTCTTCAACCCAAAGATTCACTAGAAGAATTAATAGGTTTGATTTCTTCATCAGATCTGAATCTACTTGATATATGCCTTCGTTCTGCGAAGTTTCTTTGTGTTCTTTTTGTTAATGGTGGTGCAAACTTGTTTTAGAAATAAAAGTTGAAAACAGGGATAATAAGGGTAGCTTATCTGGGGAGGGGTCGATGATGGGGGAAGACGTCGTACATGGGTTAATGGGGTGGATTGTTTGATCCTTTTTATTTCTTATTATCGAGTTTTATAAATTGACAAAACATGTCCTTGAAATAATTTCTAATTGTCATAAACAACTAAAACATGAAAATGCTACTGAAGTTAACGAAGATTTTATACGATTGTTAAAATGAGGGATCTCATGCATAATAAATATGAAACCACAATGACCATCCTTGTAACCAATTCATTTAAGGGACTTAATAAAAAATGTCACGAAACCACACAGACAAAATTTGTAATCAAGGCTGGCCCTGGCCACGTGCAAACCGTGTGGCCGCACAGGGCATCAAAGCCTAAAGGGGTATCAAATTGTCATATGTTACTAGTTTTGGGTTTAATAATTTAGGAATTGGACAATTGAGTTTTAATTATAAAAACAAGCCTAAGGCCTTGTGGTAATGAATATTGAAAGCAAATCATGAACCTGTTAACGCCATCATTCCAACAACTCAATCTAATTTCTATTGTTCTTCGAAGTTCGACTATTTTGATTTTCAAGGCATGGAGTTCTCTTTCCAGCCGATTAACGGTCATAGAATTAGATTCAAGAAATCAAAGATGGAAATCTCGAATGACTGACTTGTGTAAAAAAAACTTGACTTTCTATATAAAGTTTCCCCTACAAGCTTATTGGATAAGTTACTTTCTATATCATTAAGCCACTACGAAATAGTCATGCATAGTTGAGCGAATAAGTTGTTAGTTCCATTAAGCTATTAACAGATAGGCCCTTAGGCATTAGTCTTAGACCTGTAATTTTTTAGTTTTACTTTTCGCTTACTATGACAGTAATTTGGATGTAATTTACTATTTTAGTTAAAAATTAATTATAGTTTTCCTTGTCTTTTAAGTCTCATATATTGAAATAAAGTTTCTATTTTGCTAATTTCAATTTGGAAAAGAAGGAAGCACACGATCTTAATCCAGAATTTATTCTTTTACCATTCTATATTTTGTATTCGGGGTTTTGATTTTTATGCCCTCCCCCATTGTATTTTTTTATTATAATTAATACAAATCAACCTGGAGATGGGACACTTAGCTTCAATCGGTTCTAAGTTTTTTTAAAAATCGCATGTTTCGTTGGCTTAAAAAAATAGGCTTAAGGGCATTTTTTATTATTTTCGCACAGGGCATCAAAAATCTTAGTACCGGCCCTGTTTACAATTTACTCTTTCGATAATTTGATATATGTATAAATTTGTAGATAAACTTGGATAATTTTGATTTAAATTTGTTATTCTTTATATCATGTATAAATACATAAATATGTGCAGGAGCAAGGAAAAACTGAATTTAAAAAAAAATAAAAAGTTAAATTACCAAGATTGTTTAGGCTTACTAATTAACCATTCTCATCAAGATAAAATGGTGATGGTATCCTGATGACATTTTATCGAGCAATGTAGTCATCAATAATTGGTCGGTTCATCATAGCGACCTTAAACCAAAACACATCAGAATCCATGAGAAAAGAAACCATTGAAACTCCATATCGTAACAACATGTACAAAAATCCGTCGTAACAACACATCGGTTATCTGTCGGTTTTGTAACAGATTGATTAATATTTAGATTCGATTCATCAAAATCTTTCAATATACCATTACAACAGAATTCTACAGCACGATCTTCCCAGATTATTAAGTAAAGGTCCTCTAAATGCATAGCCACAATATTTATTACAAATACATGTTGAAAYARTAGCATCCAATAAAGAGACTCCATCACAAACATAAACCAATCTACAKATTTATAGGATTTACGAGAAGTGATTCGATGCAATGGATCATTTCTTTCCCTGCATGATTATAATCGTCGCCACGAGAATAAAGTTCGTCACAGACACGGGCAAGGTTGATTGGAGGCATAAGCAGAGGCATCGGGACATCAGTAGGCCTAAGGGATTCTTGATTTATAACTTTCCACGCATCTTCGACTTGTTTTGAAAATACTTCACGTGTTTCCTCCTCCGAGACACCATGTTGCTTCATGTAGCATTGGATGCTAGAAGCACAATGATTCCTTTCTTGTTCCTCCTGTGATATTTGCAAAAGTAACATCATACAATCTTACATTGTTTTTGTTTTAACTATATATATGTTAAATTATACTTCAAAATTAATAGATCCGAAACSAACCTTATAGGTAGCAATATCATCCATGAGCCTTAAAATCAAACATGAAGCTTTGACAAGAGGAGGATATGTGGACACCCATTTAAAGGTATCCTCTGTGACAGAATCATGTCCATGAACATAACATTTCGCTATGATCATGGCATAAGCACAAGTTACCAGGGTCACAGACATGTGTTCCTCTATGGTTGGAATGTAACCCTCTTTAACCCATTTGGCTTCCGTTAGGAGATTTCTAGTGTACTCTTTCACCTAGTTGGCAAGAAGATTGAATTTAATTTCATCAGGCATAAAATGAATTGAATTTGTTGCAAAAGAGAGTTATAAATATCAAAAGAGATGTCTATTAATTACATACCATCTCTTTAGTATAGTAGCTACGATATGCCATTCYCTTCTTTTCTAGTAACTCTTCATCTTCTTTGTGAACATCCAAAAGTTCTTGATATATGAATTTCATGTATTCCGGAAGCATATCCAAGCAACTTGTAGACCATCTATACAACACAATACCAAAAAAACCGTTTTATAAATTATGGGTATTGCAAGTGTTCATAGCTCCACTTAAAGGTGTATCACATACCTTTGAACAGCTTCAGTAAAGATCTCGAGCTCCTCATAAGTACCGTAATTATCATACGTGTCATCCAATATGATTACGAGATTGCAAGTTTTCATGAGAAAGATCCTCGCATCAGAATATTGAGGTTCGTAATAGGCTGCCAATATCCAGAAGTAGCCTTCAACCAATCTATCTCGAACATAAGGTAGCTTGGTAGATAGATCCAAATTCTTCCACCATCTAATTAAGTAGATACGTAAAACGTGAGATCATGGGAAGTATTTACAGCCTTGAGTAAAATGAAGCAGGTAAAAATGAGATAAACTAGTTAGCAACAAGTTTGATAGCATTTCCATCATATCAAACGTTTAACATGGTGTTTTTTCATCTCTTCCCCGAGGTGGTAAATAACACCTTGGGAAAAATGGGTGGTTCCTCTAAATAAAAAAAAGGATCATTTATACGTACTTGCTTAATTGGCTAAGCTCTTTCCTATGCAATGATTGGACCAAGTTGAAATCTAACTTGGCAAGCTTTAGCAAGTCCTCGTTATGAGAAGATTCATGCTCATAGATTGGTATGTAACGCAACGCCTCAAGCATTGGCAACCTTTTTCGGAGAGGCTGTCGTAGTGCTTGTTGTATTTGAATCTTAAGAGAATCATCGTTCCCCACATGATTTTTGGCTATGTTTTCAAGTTCTGAAGTTGTAAATTCAATGGCAGCATCTAAAACTTCTTCTCCCTCCACCCTCAAGTATGCTGCTTCGTACAGAGAAAGCATGCCTTGGACATCGTTTCTTAAGGATTCCAGAAATTTTCCATTGTTGTCCATGTACTTCTTGAATATTCCTGCAATGGTAGACATTGGTCGCATGTTACTTCTTTCTTTTTTACCAAAAAAATAAGCTTGATATTCACAATAGAGACGCTACAATCTTTTTGGAGGGCTTGATACATCCAAAGCTTTAGATTACAGKGTAAGATGAGGTATTGAAGCTACATATATGTTAAGCAAATAAAAGGGATAAACCTAAATATTTAACAATCTGATTGTTCAAAATTTAATTACACAACACACCAAAACAACGGTCTTTAAACATGTTGATAAAAGACCCTAAACACATGTAAAATTGGGCCCTAAAATTCAAAATCCCACATATAATTAGATTCTGTTAGTTTGAGAGAGATTAGTTAAATACCACTTGAAACATTGAAGCCATGTTGTCGTAGAAGTCGAAACCAAAGTGAAGTGATTTGGAGGTTATCATTGATCCATTGATCCCCATATGTAACATAGATATGGTTTAAGGATTCCTCAATTTCCTCCTCAAAATGATAAGCCACACCGAGACGTTGAACCGCATCAATAAGTTCCATTAGCTTCACATGCTGCATTGGTTTGGTTAAAGTTGTGATCACTAGTTCTTTTCTCACTTTCTCTCGGAGCTCTTTTGCTTGTTCCTCCTCCCATGCTTGATCCTTTCTCTGCATGCCAAAATAAAACAACCAACTTAATATAACAAAAAGAGACTAAAATGATATGTTTTCAAACAAAACTTGCTTTTAATCACGAGAATAATGTTAATATAGACAGAAACCTCATCGTATGTGAGAAACTGATCGCCCCAAATGCTACGATGGAAGTTCACTGTGCTGCGGATAACCTCTTGTTTACACTCGTTATGATCGGTGGTCGAAGAAGTGTATGAAACAGGAGCCATGGAATTCATGTTGATCTAAAGCCGATAAACTAATGATGAATCAAGTATTAGTTAGCACCAACTTTGTATGAAAGAAAGCTTGGACTACAAACATATATATAGGTAGAGAGAGATGCCTAGCAAGATGTTCCCACTCATTGCATGGTCCACACAATGACTCCTTATGGCGGCTTCTAAATTCCTTATTCTCCATTGTTGAATAGAAAAGTCTCATTTTTGATATCATATGTTGGTAATAAAATATTTACCAAATAAGTATACGAGGTGGTAGGTTAATATTAATGTAATTAGAATTAAAAAAAGAAAAAAAAATACTAAAATAATTTTAAAAAATACTTTTAATTAATGAATATGTCACCCATCTACTTTAGATAGTGACTACTCATGTTTGCTCTTTTATTTTGTTTTGATCAAAATTTTGAAATAAATAAAATATGAATTTTCGGTTAATATTTTGTTCCAACAGCTTCTCTAAACTATCTTTAAAATGAAAAAAGTAGGAGAGCGAAATGTTTTTTTTTCTAAAAATATGGAGAACACCTCAAAAATGAACACCAAATAAGACCACTGATAAAAACTTTGAAAATAAATATTTAGAAGGAGAAACAATATTTTAATATTATAATTCATATTTGATTATCTAAAATAAAAAATTTGTTGGAGATAAATATGTATACTATATTATAAAGCATTTGACAAAAACTCTTAAAAACTATTTTTTAAGCATGAAGTACTGTTTATTGATGGATATTACTTAAAATTCAAGATTACAAGTAATTTTGCATAAGTACAATTTATTAGAGCTTCATTTTTAAATTCGTGTAACTAACTGCAGATAAACATAATCAAATACAGGAGAAACATTTATTTTAAATATAGAAAATATAAATTATAATTAAGATAACCATTGAGTTATAACAGAATGTTTAATTATTATCTTTAGAAAAAAAATATATTATTAAACCAAAAATAAATTACTTTGTTATTAAATTTAAATTAATGTATAGTAAAAAATTGAATTAAAGAAGTTACACAAAAAAAATGAGAATTATTAAATAGTTAATTTGATACTAATATAGATTTATTTTTTCAAATTTTTATGCTATATTTAAATTTATATTCATTCAAAAATAAAGATATTATCGTTTTCTCACAACCATATAAAATCGTATTATATCGATAGAGAAAAATAAAAAAATTAAACATTAAAATAGAGAGTTATCTCACTGTATTGTGCGAATATCTTTTTAATAATTTTTTGAAGATTTTGATTTTTAGTTTTTTATTTTAGAGAAATTTTAAAGTATAATATTTACTACTCAAGAGTCAAGAGTATGGGCACTATTGGAAGGGACCACTGAAATTTTCATCCACGTGGGAAAAATAGATCAATATTTAGGAAAAAAATTATAAATAGTAATTTCCAAAAATTGATTTTATTTTTTATTCATTTTATATTTTTTTTCAAAGTTTATAATAAAATATATTTTAGAAAAGTAATTTACGCAGAAAAAAGAGACTTTACGTAAAAAGAATTCTTTCTATGCGTAAAGTTTCTAAGAGCTTAAAAAATTTAAATTTTACATCTTATAATTAGTTATTTAATTTATTTTATATCTTTTATTTTTTACATTCTTCATTTTACATTTTTATTATATTAATACACATAATTGTATATTAACTAAAATACATAAAAGAATATGTTTTTCTTAACCAGTTACATCATTATATCGTCTCGTCAATACGTTCAAAATGAGACCAATATTAAAAATTATTGGATCTATATTATTAAATATCATAAATACGTACGAATTTTTTTTAAATCCTACATTATCTATCCTTATAGTTATTTATTTAATCTGTAACTATAAGGATATAAAATATAATTACTCAAATAATTAGTAAGTTTTATAATATTTAATAATATAAGATTAAATTCAAAAATATTCAATATTGGTTCATTCAGAACGAATTGACGAGACAATTATAATGATGTAATTTATAAAAAAAAGAAAAAAAACTATTTTTTTATGATTTTAATGAATATATGATTAATATAATAAAGGTGTAAATGAAAAATGAAAAAGTAAGAAATATAAAGTAATTAAACAGCTAATTATAAGGGTGTAAAGTGTAAAAATAGTTTACCAGAACCATATTTAAGACATGTTTGGACATATGTCTTTTGGTGGAGGCCTTCTTGATTTAATAACACAAGTAAATTATGTTCTTAGTCTATGTGGTTTGTCGAAAGTTTCTGTTTGCGTCCATGTGTTTTTGATTTAAATTTTATTGCCTTTTTCATCCCTGTGGTTTAAAACTTATTTCAATTTTAGTCCCTCATACTTATGAGTAGTAATTAGTCTCAAGGATAAAAGAAAGAAATGAATTATAAACCATAGAGACCAAAACTGCAATATTGAAACCACGAGAATGAAATCCGCAACTTCTAGTAAACCACAGGGACGGAAAATGTAATTTACTCTTTTAACTATTACTGTAATTTTTTTATAATATAAACATGAACTGGTCCGTCATTGAGAATAAAAAGTCCATAAAATATGTAGGAAAGAGAAAACTGATGTAACAAATACATAAACCTGTTTAGAGGTTCATGAATGTGCATGTAAAAGGTAAAATGAAGTTAGGTGTCTTAAACATATAAGATTATATATGGTTATGATATGTAAAGAAGTAAAGAACAATTTTTCAACAACAGAGAATTACTTTATTTGTATGTGACTTTTGAAAAGTCTACACTAAATTATGAGTTAATGTGATGGTTTTTATTAATTAATTAGAATAGTACTCGCGTAATGCAGCGAGATATATCTTGATTTAATTGTTTCGTTTTATTTCGTTTCCGTTGATGTTATAATACGATTTTATGTTAGAATTTATTTTTTGTTTAATAATATAGTTTTTTTATAAAGATAATAATTAGTATTCTGTTAGAATTCAATAATTATGCTAAGTATATTTTAGATTTTTTTATTCAAAATAAGATATTCATCCAGTATTTGATTATGTTTATCTGCAGTTAGTTACACGAATTCAAACATGAAGCTTTAATAAGTTGAACATACGCACAATTTACTTGTAATCTTGAATGTTAAGTAATATGCATCAATAAACAATACTTAATGCATCAAAAATGGTTTTTAAGAGTTTTTGTCAAATTCTTTATAATATAGTATAGATAATAGGTCATGGATGAATACGAAGCGGACATCCACCAAAATTTACCACTATACGAAACTTTAACCTTTCTATACTAAAGCATGAAAATACATATAATCCAATAAGTCACCATAATTAACTTATGCATCTGCCAACAAAAGATCAAAATCAAAATTACATCGGTACAAGTATCACTACTTTTTTCAAGTTTATACTCTACTTTTGATGAGGCTTGAGCTCTTGAGTTGTAAAAATGTTACCAATGCATCTGCCAACAAAAGATCAAAATCGAAATTAGTTCAAGAATAGAGATGGGAAAATACGGTCCAAAAATCTCTGTTTTGAAGAATTAAGCATAGATGAAGAAGTCAGTCATCTAATTTTGTAGAGATATAAATAAGTAAATACTAACAAAGAAATAAAGAATTGAGATAAACATTGATTAGAACTGATCCTTACCGATATTAGTTACTTACGCATATATTTAAGGGAAATTGATATGGATGAAATTCAAGATTACAAGTAAATTATACATAAGTACAACTTATTAAAGCTCCATATTTGAATTCGTGTAACTAATTGTGGATAAACATAATCAAATAGAAGATAAACATCTCATTTTAAAATATAAAAAATCTAAATTATAATAAGGATAATTATCGATGACTAACAAAATAATTAATTAATATCTTTATAAGAAAAATATATTATTAAACCAAATATAAATTATTGAACCTAAATTAAATTATAATAAAAAATTGAATTAAAAAATTACACAAAAAATAGGAATTTTAAATAGTTAATTTGATACTAATATCGATATATTTTTGTCAATTTTTTATGATATCTTCAAGTTTATATTTTATTCAAAAATAAAACATCATCGTTTTTTCAAAATCACATAAAATCATACTATAACATCGATTGAGATATCAAATAAAATGAAATATTAAAGTCAAGATTTATTTCGTTGCATTGTGCGAATACCCTTTTAGTTATTAATAATAAGTTTTATAAAGAAAAGTTCACTCTTAACCCTTTTCATAATTTTGGTTTTAACCTTTTTACCTTTTTATTTCTATTCACTATTTTATAAAATGAATGACGTTATTAGAAATAAAATAACATTTATGATATTATTAATCATTTAAATCAATATATTCACGAGTACAATTATAATTTAAATATTTTTTATACATTTAATCAATGTTGACATTGTATACTCTCTTGTTAATATCACTCAATATCACTCCTAATTGCAATAACCATATGTTGAGAGAATGACAGTGAGTGTGTCAGTAGCAGTAAGTACGTTACACAAACTTGTTTTTTAAGGACATGTAATATCATGTTGTACCTTAAATATGTACAGAAATAGAGTATAGCTATTAAAAATTATTCGAAAAACGAAAACTGAAAAAGTAAAAAATACATGATAAATTAAATAAATAATTATAATGATATAAAATGTAAATACTAAAAATATTTATGATATATAATAATATGTTTAAATCCAAAAATATTCAATATTATAAAAGTTTTGATGAGACGATTATAATGGTGTTATTTGTTAAAATACGTATTTTAGTTAATATACGATTATGTAAGTTGATATGATAAAAGTGAAAAAAGAAAAATGAAAAGTTAAGGATATAAAAAAATAGAGATATAATAATTTGATTAAATAAAAAAATATTCAATATTATGTTCGTTTTGAAGGTATTAAGAAAACGATTATAATAATGAAACTTACTAAAAAAAGAAAAGTATTTTTTATTGTATTTTAGTATATATACGAATATGCAAGTTAATATGATAAAGGTATAAAATGTAAAATGATAAAGTAAGAGATATAAAATAAAATAAATAAATAACTGTAAAGGAATAAA